TTGTATCGGATACCTATCCGGAAAAGAAGAAGAGCAAGACACTGGAGGAAAAGTCAGTGTTAGCGTCCTAGCACTGAGGCGAAACGTCACGCTCAAGGGAATCCTCAACGGCCCTCGAGATCGGTTCGAGGAGATGGTGGCATTCTACGAAAAGCACAAGATCAAGCCCGTGGTGAGCAAGGTTTTCGAGATGGAAAAGGCGAACGAGGCGGTCAAATTTTTGGCAGAGGGGGGACACTTTGGAAAGGTTGTTGTGAGGGTTGCTGGTAAGGAGTAGATGGAGGTCAAGGAGAGGGATGAACGGTGGAGGATAAATCTTGAGGTTTAGGGTTAGATTATGATATACGAGTAGAACGTAGAGCAAGATTATTTTGTTTTATTTGACTTGGAAGTGTTGTCTTGGATTGATCATGTTGGTGTTAAGGGGTGTAGCATTCCAGCTTCTATCTGCCCTTGGCCTTTTCTTCTATCCAAACCTTTTCCATTATCCAATCTTTGAACTTGAATGGCATGACCGCTCCTTGCCTATGCCTTCATTTCATCTGATGACAGCATTCACACATCACAATGTGCCACACACACAACGGTACCTCGGCCTACGCCGCAAAACCTTCTATTGCCCAAAAAAAACCCAAACGTTTTAATCCAAACGGCCCGAAGCGAAACCCAAAGCGAGCACAGTCTCGGCCGTTAGATGTATGTATATGTATGTACAAGAACAAGTTGTCATTATAACTTGTATATCGTTCACAGCGCCTTGGGCACTACCCTCGCGTTGGGATCAACAAGGTCCAGCCTGCTGATCAACGGCGCAAAGATGAAATCCTGAACTGGCTTTAGGATGAGAACCATGCGGTTATACCTCCATCCCAAAAGAGGCACCAGAGCTCCGATGAAGGCGTCGGTTAGAAAGTGGTTGGCAGTGGCGACGATGGTGATGATCATTGCGGCTGGCCAGAGAGGTGCGAGAATTCGCATGAATCGGTGGGGAGAGAATCGACACATGCAGACGGCAAAGAAGAGCGCAGTTCCAAAGTGTAGACTCGGCATGGCGGCTATCGTGAGTTGAAACCTGTTGTTGTTCCAAGCGTTTGCGCCTCCCGCCTTGCTATGCAGGATATCAACAAACCCATACTCCTGCGGTAGCAACCTCGGCGGGGAACACCTCCAAACAGTAACAATAACAAACGCAATAGCATTATCAGCGGCGATTGTCCTCCTAATACGACGGAAAGTGCTCGGCGGGAGGTACGTGTAGATGTAGACGAGGAAGCACACGCCGAGGCTGATGTGAGAGTAGTAGATCCTGGCGAGGTATGGCATGAGCCAGGCCTGCTGCGTCATGACGTACGACTGGAAGCGCTGCTCAATGTCGATGCCAAAGAGGTGTTCTAGATCTAGAATCTCGAGGGCGTGTTCTTGGGCGCGGGTAAAGATTGCTTCGTTGCCTGCAATCATTCTTGCGGAAAAGGCTCTAAGACCTTGATATATCCTACAAAAGTCAGTCCCACACTCCACCATAGACAGTTTCCCTAGACAGTTTACACACCAATAAGTCATGTTCCAGTACCAAATCTCGACAAGAAACGGAAACGTATTAAAAAACCTCGACAGCAGCACAAACACCATATTAGGAGCCCTCCTCCTCACGGAAGGTTCGGGTTGTGCGAGAAGCGATGGTTTCAACGGTGGAGAGTCGACATAGGCTTCTCCTGCCTCGACATCATCGTCTAGACAGTTGGTGTAGTCTTTCCGGTCATTCCGGCGTCTGTTGATGAGGCATCCTGCTGTGAAGGCGAGGACGATGACTAGAGGGGGATTGTTATTATGTTTGGGACATCTTGAAGGGAGAGAGGGACTTGCAGGCTGGTTCGACGACGTTTTTGAAGTTGTCAGGCATGATTTGGAGTTTACCAAGGAATGAAGATGTCTCGAGCTGATGATGTATTCTTTAAAGTAGACTTGATCCCCCGTTTATCTAGAAACGAGTGTAGAGGGAAGAAAGCCAGTAATAAAAAAGCCAAGAGAATGGATGAAAGAAGATATAGTCAGAGTAAATAAAGAGGAGGAAGGGAGGAAAAAGAGGCACGAGACACTTGGCGATGCAAACCTACTTTTACTTGAACCTGACCACACATACACACGCAATGCAATCGCATGCATCGCATTTGTATGCACGCCCTAGTGAGAGAGGGCGTCTACCTTCCGACGGAGAATAGCAGGGGGTGGTGTCGACCGGGGTTCCGGTACTTTGCTCTCTTGCTCGCGTGGTCGATTACGCAGTTCAACGCGCGTGTTTCATGGCTTGGTATGGAATGCGTTGCTGTTGCTGTTGATGTTGGCTGCATACTACGTATAGATACAACCTGTTGGCTCTTGATGAGTCTGACATACATCATGAAGGATTCTTCCCTTCCCTCGAGGTTGAATCGATAAGCTTATTCCCTCCAAAGTACATACATCATGAGAGAAAGCCTCCCTCGCTTCAAACTCACGGATGGGCCCGAGCGGGCTGGCCCCCAGCCTCAAGTATCCAACTGCCGCTCGACGCTAACCATGAGTCGTTGACGTAGAAAGCGTGTCACCAACCCAAGCAAAAGGATCCCTTTTGTCCGCTAGGTCAAGTCTGGTAGGGTTGCACGTGTGGCGGGTAGATTTAGAGAAACATAATCAAGCTTTCTTTCAGATCTTTGCAAGAAATTGATACTCAAATCATCAACATCTTGGCAGGTACAGAATGTTAAAGCTATAGTGGATATGTTGCCCCATCGGCGGCTCGGCCTCGAATACCACCCCGTCCTCCGAGATTAAACCCATCGGCGGGCCGGTAGTGGAAACGCCGTTCTTTTTTCGCTCTCCGCGGGAACGGCGTTTTACTACTTTGTCGTGCATATCCATCATGACGATCAATAAGAGGGAAAACACCAGGTTGTTATGTATCAGTGTGTGCCTCGGTATGTTGCTCATGACATGACATGACCACCATCAACTCATACACAGCCCCCCTGCGGACTTGGGTACAGTACAACTCCGCATCTCTGTGTGAGGGCGTTGGAATAGCCCCCTTTCCCTAGGGCTGACACAGACTGCATGAGGAAAAGCTTGTCTGACAGAAGCTTCAAAACAAGCAACACGTATGTCACTGGCGGGCGTTTCAACAATGGATTCGAAGAAGCTCAATTGGCATCAGACAAGGACTGGGGTCCGTGCAGGACGTTGTCATATCCGTAGGTTCCGAAGAAGCAAGGAAGATCTTACATGTAATCATCTGATTGGTTCGTTCAATTTGCTCGCTTTCCTCGGGTTGTAGGTCGGATTGTTTATATTTGCCGAGTGCGAAGTTGAACGAGGGTTAGTGATCTGATGATGGCACATGCTTATCCCCGCGGATCAATTACTACAATTGTATATATAATCATCCCGAGCCCATCTGCTGCTTATGGTATACTTGTGTCTGGTATATATCTGACTTGTCGTGGCATAGTTGCGGTGAATCAAGTTGCATCATGATGTTGGCTTGCTGCAGTCATCACCACCAAGACTCGATTGTCAGACTGCATCAGACTGCATCATGTATCACAGCTGCTGGTCCGCGAATCCATGATGAACAAGAAAAGATCAGAACTTTTGTGATCAAGCCTTGCCTTCTCAAGCCCCGAGAAATAAAAGGGACGCAGTTGGACATACCAGAGACTCTTTCAGCCCAATGGTTTGGGGTCTTGACCAAGGTTTTCACCTGTACCCAGCATTTTAATGGTTTGAAAGCTATCAAGGCAATTATTATATTGGCAATCAAATGGTAAATCATTAATTGATAGAAAGCAGGCTACAGAAAAAAAGTCCAACCCAATCTTGACCCTCACGTGTATGCCTCTCACCATGACTCAATGGTTAAAGTACATGAGATACCATATTTGCTAGCAACTATCGAATAGGTCCGCAAGAAGAATAAACATTGATCATTGATGAACCATGATCTAAGCCCCTTCCCCTCTTAGGCACCGAGGACAAAGAGAGCAGCTGATTGACTTGGTATTGTTACCCATCGACCCAACAATTGAGAATCTGGAGCAGAGTTTTCCTGATAGATCGAAGCAGATGGTTCTCGAAACAATTCGAATCAAGTTGAACCCAGAAAAGTCCCCTTGACAAGATCAGACTTTGTCGGGATGGTCGCTGCCTGAAAGGGGAGGCAGCAGTACGAGTGTCTTGGTTGCCTGCCTCGTAGTATTGCTGGACCTGCTTCTTTTCCTCCGTTTCGGGCATGATATGGTTTGTTGCTTTGAATGAACCTACGTAGTAGAGCACAAGACCCTCGTTAGCATTGTCATGTATACCTGCCTTCTCAACGCTTCAGCCTAGAATGTCGTCACAACAGGGAAACCTTTGTAATAGTCACTATACGGCGGTATAAGAGAAACCTGCCCAGCGTCGACCCACGGTGACGAGCGATGAACTGACTAGACTGCTCAATCCCGTCCGCCATCTTCTACGATGGTGAGTCTCTTAATAGGATGGATGCCGTTAGAGCTACTTGTGGTCAACCCCAATGTCTCCGTCATAGACCTACTCAAGAGCAATGTGTATCATTCCTAATTTCTATATGCCTTCTTGACTCTGTCCCTAGATGCTTCGAGGGGAATCTGTCTCCCAACTAAACTCAATCGCCCGTTAACCTCCTCAAACTCAACTCAGAGATTCGGGCAGAGTCACAAAAAGACTATTCTCATCACGCGGCAACAGTGACTCAAATCCTCCTCAACAACCTTGAAGTATAATCAACAAAGTAGCGTATCAAACTTTTTCATCTTGTCCAGGCTGTGTCTTGATGGGCATAAATAACCAGCTCCCCTTCAGTTCTGTTCCAGAACAACTTCTCTTCTCCATCATCTTCACACACTCAATCACAACTTTACATTCAACTCACATTCAATCTCAACTCTCGACGGCATACTTGCTTGCCATTACTTTTATACCAACATCAATCAACCACAATCACAATGATGAACCACGTTCAACAACTCCTTGGCAAGACGGCATTGGTCGCCTGCGACCCCGTCTCCAAGATACACAAGAGATACTGCGGCAGTCGCCTAGACAAGGCCTGCCAGCAAGGCTCAGACTACATCAAGAGACGATCCGCAAAGCGTCAGCTCCAGAAGGAGCAGGACGACTTTTACCAACCTTTTCAACGCCTAGACTGTCACATCCTCTACAAGCTCGACCAGTCTGTCCTGCTCTGCATCGTTGACTTTCTCCCCCTCGACACACAGGCCGTTCTCTCCCAGACGTGTCGGGCCATGAGAAACATCCTCAAGGTTCCTGCGCCTATTGACCTTCCATACGTTGAGCGGGTTGATTACCTTGCCAACTTGGCCAAGGACCGCGTTGATTGTTGGGTTTGTGACGATTGTGTCAAGATCCACAAGATGCATCTCGCAGACCGTCCTCTCTCGACAGTAAGCGGTAACTGCACGAGAGTCAACACCGACAACAACACATCTACCAACCTCTTTCGCCGGGGAATGCACTTTTTCCTCACTAGTCAACACGTGGAACTCGCTCTCAAGTACACACGTCTGGGCAAGGACAACCTCAGCTGGAAGCACAAGCTGTATCTTGAAGAGGTGCTCAAGCCTCGTGTCTGCCGTGACAAGATGCCTGATGTCGATGGGCTCGAGAAGGACGTCACATGTCGAATCGAACCCAAGGTTGTCGACGGCAGATTCCTTCTTCGAATTGAGTGGACATACAACTTCAAAGACGAAGAGAAGCTCACCGCACAAGACGTCTGGAGACTACTTGGACGTCAAGGTGAAGAATGTTCCTGGTACGAGATGCGATATAGCGAAGTTGGTGTTTCACATGAGGGTGATGATGACTGCTCAACATGTCATCGCTGTCTCTCTCGAGCAGCCACCAAGCGAGCAGTTGAGAACCACAACGTCGATGTCGAGGGACACGACCTCAGCAGCCCAACTGACTATACCTTCCGTGTCGAAGCCGGCAAGGCCAAGTTGATTGCCTGGCAAGACATTGGCAAGGGTGTCTCTCCCATTGATCTGGCTTGGACAAGAACAGTGCTCACACAGCCTGATGACGACTGGGAGGGAGATGAGGAAGAGGATGAGCCTGTGGACTTGCGAATTGGGCATGGTCCTGGAGATGTGCGATGTTTGTTTGAGAGCAACTAGGGTTGCATTGGGAGGGAAAGGGAATGTGCTTACTTGCTGTTTTGTTTGTTATTGCATTGTTTGTAGCTTGGTGTTTAGAGACATACCCGCAAGGGTCAAAGTTTGGAGTTGGAAAGGTCATGGGTTCACATTAGACTTGTTTGTAGCCTGTTTTCTATCAATGATAGCATTTGATGATCAACATGCCGACTTTCAACGATTATCACAGTGAACAATGATGATTAAAGTGACAAGTTTCAAGAAACATGACGGCCGTTAATCATTAAAGTCATAAGTACTGTTCCATCACGACTCTATAAACCATCACATCAACCAACATCAACCAAGCATCACACAATATGCATCAATCATTCCAACACCCCTCATTATCATTCATCCCCCTATCAACTCATACATAAACTTCAAAAATCCTTCACTCCCCTTGTCCGTCCCTTCCCCCTTTCCCTGGGGTATCATGGCATCGCAACGTTCAGAAATGTGAAGTAGGAAAGAGAAAGAAAAACCCAAACATTCCTCCAATGCATGTGCATGTGCTCGCGTGATGCAATCCCAAATGACAATGACATGCATGATCCGCTGGAAAGACAGTCCAGATACTTCCTAGTAAATGCAGCACATGTATGTCCATCAACCCAAGCAATCCCATCGCATGTAGTTTTCACCCAAGTGCCCCATGACGGTAGCTCTGAGATGTACACTGTTTTTGTTTTAATCATGACCGGTCTGTGCCTGTCATGAAGGGCCGTGTCTCCTTGGCCTGCTTCGACAGCTCCAACAATCCCGGGATAAACACACGAACTCTATCGAGCCCGTCACGTAGATCGCCATGATGTGAGCCATCAGGATCCTTCACAGAATCTATGTCAGGTCGTGGCACTCTTAGCATCCCAATTACTCGTAGCGTCTTGGGGCGCCGAAAGTGTCCAGAACCTGCTCAGAAGTTCGCACAATCCAATCCAGCTTGGTTCTCTCGAGGTTCGCCAGGAAGGGATCCGTGGGGAAGCCATCCTGGATTCCACCAAGGAGAGGCTGGATACGGCCGATAAGGAGTTGCATGGTCTGGGTCGTGCTCTTGATCACATCCCTAGCTCCTTGCTGCTCCCACTCCTATTCTCCGTTAGCTCATTCAATCAACCAGGGACACCATAACTTACATAGACCGGAAGATTGCTGGCAAAGGCTCTAAGGGCCATCTCAATCCACTCCACCTCCTCCTTCAAACGAGCATTGGGCTTCAAATCCTTAGAGATCGTGGCAATAACAACGAGCAACATCAGAGGCGGCAGGTTTTCGAATTTGGTTGCAGGGAACCGGCAGAGGCATCGGCGGAATATCTCCTCCTCGCGTCCGCTCTGGATCCACTGAATCATGGCATCCTGATAACGTCCTTCCTGAATAGCCTGCTCAATGATTCTGATGCGCTGCATCAAGTCGTGATCCGCCTCGGGCTCTGTCTGGTTTCGCTGGCTGGCATATGCACCAGCAAGGGCGCTGACGCTAGCTGTGGGAGCAACATACTCAGAAGCCTGCGCCGAGGCCTGGGGGCTGGTCACTTGCTGTGACCCGCGCATATACTGGGGGCTTCCCATGTATTGTTGAGGCTGGCTCTGGGCTTGGCTCGGGTGGTAGCTACCAGCGTGGCTAGCTTGGGCATGACTCTGGGGACCAGAGTTGGCGTAGCCGTGATGAGGAACATTGTGTTGTCCGTGACCAGTGTTCTGGGGAACACCTGGAAGTTCGTGGACGGGCTGCTGCTTGAACTTGAGGAACTCAGCCTGAAGAGATGACTGAGAAGCCGCCATGGTCGAGACCATGTCTGTCAGGCGAGTGACGTAAGACAGAAGCTGGTCGATCTTGGCTGCGTCCGCAACATGCTGGGCCTTCATCTGTTCAAATTGCTCGTGGTATTGCTGGTGGAGCTCACCGGCGACACGCTGCGACGCCTGGGTCGTGATGTTAGTGAAAGTAGGCGTCAGTCGCTGTGCCAGCGTCGCCAACACCTCCTGTTGAATGCTGGTAGCAACAGTAGCACCAACTCGGTCAGAAATGGCGTTGACAAAGTCGCCAGAGCGCAGAGACCTGTTCAGCGCATGAGGCAGGGAGCTCTGAATCTCCTTCTGGACAGACGAAGCAACGTGAGGCTGAAGCTTGTTGTTGAGCAGGTCAGTGACTGCCGCGCCAGCCTTCTCGCCAATGGCCGGGATGACCAGTTCAGTAAACTGGTGGTGGATCAGGGCTTCCAACACTTTCTGGGTGTTCTCATTAAGCACCTCAGAGACCATGTCGAGCAGCTTAAGCTGATGTTGGTTGAAATTCTCATCTCGAACACGAACATCTTCTTCGATCTTGCCATGGAGGTTCTTGAACGAGTTCTTGAGAGTGTCGGCCATGTTGGCGTTGAGTCGAGCCTCGAGACCGGAGATGGCAGACTCAAGCGCCTCAGGAGTGACTCCAGGGGCAACTACGTTGTTTGCACCCTTGCCGTCCTTGCCAGAGCGAGGTGTAGCTCCGTTGGTTGAAGCATCGCCCTGGTTGGCAGCGTTCTTCTTCTTCCTAGACTTGCGCTCAGGCTTCTCCGACTGTGATTCCTTAGCCGACTGGACAGGCGTCTCAGCCTCCTTCGGCTCGTTCTTGAGCTTGACGGCCTGGGCAGACTCGGGTCCACGCGGGGTCGCGTCGCTCTGCGGGGTGGCGAGGAGCGTATCCTTATTAGCTCCACGGTTCACAACCCGGACCGTGGCCTCGCCGTTGCTGGTCGGGACAACAGGTTCGGCCGGCTGGGGCGCCTTAAGCTTGGAAACCGTGACAACGTTCTGACTGACGGCGTCGACAGCATCGAGGACCTTGTTGTCCTTGGACCATCCGAGCTCAGTCTGCTTCACGAGGAGGCAGGCAACTCCCTTGGAGTGCATGGCGTACAGCTCAAAGAGAGTTGGCTCGTCGACGTCCTGGACCATGGCAGGCGTGCCGAGGATGTCGAGACTGCGCAGGATTCCGCGGTTGGCGAAAGAGTACTCGCGGACGCCACTGATGACAGCGGTACTATCTGGCTGGGGAATCGAAGCATCTTGAGCAACAAGGCGCTGGATGTATTCAGCCTGAGACACACTCTTCAGGTTATACTTGGGCGCCGAGAGGTGTGCGAAGTAGATCGAGTTGCGCGTAGGATGACCAATGACAATCATGCCAGTGGCCTGGTGATACATGACACTGCAGACAGCGTCCGACTCCTTGCTGTGAGGGAGGTTGAATTCCTGCACGGGCTTACCGAGAGCAAGATCCCAGAGCTGGAGAGTGTGGTTTTGCTTCATACCAACAATCATGTACCGGAGGGCACAGCGCTTCTGATAGGGTCGCTGCTTGTCCAGTAGCAAGACAGAGGTGGGCCAGGCCTTTTCACCCTCAGGCGTGGTAGCGAGCGTCATAAGGGGCTCCTTGACCTCGAGAGAGGTCTGGGCGGGCATGGGGGCACGCGGGTCGGAGTCCTCATTGACGGCGGTCAGGTCTCGAACATCCCAGAACTTGACCCGACCAGACTTGTCAAGAGATACAATGACAGTGTCATCCTGGCTGAAGGTGAAATCCTTACCCGCCTTGCCAGTGTTGATCTTCAGAGAGCACTGCTTGGCAAGAGTCTCGGTGTCGACAACTCGATCATGGCCAGGCTTGAACAGATTGTTCTGGAGGATGTAGGAAGGCCAGATGAGGTTGATGGACTTGCCACGGCCGACGGCAAAGTACTCGGGGTGGTTGGTCGAAGTGCGAGCACGAGTCTTGAGCACACCACCAGGGGCGTCACCCTCCTGGGAGCTCATGGGGGGAAGCGCAAAACCATACTGCTCCATGTGGGTATCTTCAATGTGGTCCTTCTCGCCCTCGCGAATCTGGACCCAGTAGACGGTGCCACTGATGCCAGTACCAATGATGGCCTCCCGGTGGGCGCCGTTGTGGTCTGAAGGAGTGACAGACATGGCGACATTGAAAATGCGATCCTTGGTATCGGTAAAGATCTTGGCATCCTTGCCATCTTCCTGGCGGATAACACGCAGACCTCCCTGCTTCGACATGCCGTAGGCCATGTAGTTCTCGGTGGCGGTGTACAGGTTGCGATCAATCTGATCAAACTCCTTTTTGAGACGAGCGATATCCATAATAGTCTCGTCACGGAAAAGAGGGCGAGGCTCAGTGCCTTCCTCCTGAAGAGTGATGGAGATCCAAGGCTTCATTGGGAAGTTGAAGACTCTGACGGGAGGAGTTTCCTTCTCCTCAATGACAACAATCTCATCCTGATCAGCACTCTCCCAGCTATCAGCAACGCCATGAGCGGCCTCATCCACAATCTCTCGGACAGTCTCGGCGACGTCAGATGGGAGATTATCCTCGAGGACACCCTCGTTATCGTCGCGGTCGAGCTCGGCCTGGATAGCCTGAGCGGCGGCTTGAGCGCTGTCTTCGAATTCCTTCTCGGACCTAGCGTTGAGCATGTCGTCAAGGTCCTCGGCAATTTCAGCCTGGGCCTGCTCATGCTCCGCACGCTCCACCGCCTCACGGGCATCCTGGTCAACCTGCTCGGCGATATCCTCAACAGCTTCAGCAACAGTCTCGGTGGTCTGCTCGATGGGAACGTGGTTCTCGAACTCGGAAGTGGGAGGGGTGCCGTGCTTCATCGACGGGTGAGAGTGCAGAGACGAAGTGCGAGTGGCCTTGCGACGAATCTGATGAGGAGAGACATAGCTACCACGGTCACTACCATGCATCGAGTGCTGCGAAGCAGCAGGCGAATCCTTCTTCAGAATCTGGAAGGGCATGGAGCCGCTGGGTGAATGAGTAGCGTGGCTATGAGGAGACGACTGAGCTTGCAAGCTGCCCATTAACTGTTGGTAGAGAGCAGCAGAGACATCAGCCGGCGCCTCCTGCGAAGGCGTGTAGTAGGACTCGGTAGCATTGGAAGGCGGGTGTGCGACATCGGCATACGACTCGGCCGGGTAGTGCTGAGGGTT